ACACATGTATATATAGGAGAGAGATAGAAGAGAGACAGAAGAGAGATATATTAGAACAATTGAAAGAGAACAGAAGGAGGAGGAAGGAGAATCATCGAAGCGTGCCATCAATATCGGCACAATAAGTTGTTCTCGAAACTGAGCAAAAAGTAGTAGTTATACACCAGAAAATCTCAACAATCAACATCGGGTGGGCCAGCTTCACCACAGCGCGCATGTATTTTAACATCGATGCATTTATGGAGTATGATAATATATTCAAGACACTTACTATTACCACCACAGTTTGTGATAAGACCCATGACTGTCTCAAAGCGCCTAGTTTACAGAGTGAGGCTAGAAAAGTTGAAGTCTGACGTTTTCTTTAACCAAATATGTGAAGTACGAACGATTTCGGTGCACATAAGTATATTGTGAGTAATAGGTAGAGATAATATATGAATCGAAACGATATGAATAGGTCCAGCTAAGAGGGTTACGATACATGATCGTTTCGGACGAGTGAGATGGTGATTCCCATAATGCAGGGACAAATCGTTCGGAATAATGTCGCTGCCTTTCGGCTTCCTTTTTATCGATATCATCGCGCATGTGAAAGATAACAGCATCAGCAATGTTCAGACGACTTCGCTCATTTGTAATTTCACATAAGTAATCTGGAAACGGACAATTGAGTTCTCTCATAACCAAGTTTGTGTTACCACGAAGTGCTTGAATTTTTCATTCTCGATCACTGAAGAATGGATTAAAAAGAAGAATTAGTTTGGGTTTCTGCAAAATGAGAATTAGAGAAATATTTACTATGCTCTGCTAGATACCAATACACAGATGAGGGTAGAATTGTGACGCCAGAGTTGAAAGAAACTATCGACGGAGTTAAGTGTAGTATTCATTGTGGCGTCGTTGGTTTTATCATATTTCTATTATCACGTTTAAGTGGAATTATTCTTGACGCAGGAAGAAAATAGAGAATAACGATTATAAAACTTATGCCAGACATTACAGTTTGGAATGCATTTGTTTTTATATGCCTGGGTAGACACACATCATTATAATCGACTTGATGAACCTATCGAGTGAGATTTGCATTCCATGCTGGAAACGACTGAATAAGAGATAGATATGCAAAATATTATATACAATTTTTTTCCTCTTGTTCCTAGTTGATTTTTTGCTGAATGTGATCAATTTTCACACAGATCTGACCTGTATCGGCCGCGCCATCTAGTTAAAAGATGTCAGTTCCTATTTGATCTGAATTTTCTGTGAACATGTAAAATGAAGCGATCTCTTTAAAAAATAAGTACCACCTAGTCAAATTAATCTCACATTGGAGTTTTTCATAGTTTTAGAATTTTTTTTTGAAATTTCTCTGTCCACAGAGTCACACTAAGGGTTCTAGTAAACAAAGGTATATTTCATGCGTTTTGTTTCTTTGTCCACGAACTGACCTTCCATTGTTATGCATTCACTTTTTGCAGAATAAAAGAGAGAAAACGTGTCACGAAAAAGGCGTTTTTTTTCTAGATATAAGTATCTGACAATGATGGAGTTAATAGGATTCATGGGTGTGGACCGCAGAGTTAATCTGCTTGATAGTAACGGTAAGAAAGACATTCTATTTGCATTGTTTACTCATATACAGAAAAACAGGCTCATCATCGTTCGAGTCGTTGAGCGTAGAGATTCTCTACGAAGTACTCGAATATTTTAACCTCGATGAAATTCTCCACTCATTGACCAATGTCTGTTCTCATCTCGACTGGATTATTTTCAATGATTCTGGTTTGTTCATCCGTGGTGTTCAATTGTCGTCTAAATCGCCTCATCTTCATCTGAAAATCAATGAAACTCGAATTGCTTCACTCACATTGAGACATACTGCAGTTTCTCTTTCATTATTTATCAATCTTCGTTCACTCTCTTTACGAACACGGTGCTCACGCCCAGAGAGACTCCGACAAATGAGTCAAGAAGTATGTAACAAAATGAGAAAGATGTTCTAGCGTTTTTTTTTAATAGTTTTTTGTTGAAAATGCATTATCCTTTGCTATATCTTCAGTAACACATGTCTAAAAGTTGAGATATCGAAGTTTGTTGAAATTCTCTTATTGTCTGTCTATCGAGCTTGCCCTATTGTATCTGAAAAGATAAAATCTCGTTTAATGGGAAAGTTTCAAGACAAAGGACATCGTGTTTTAAATAACTCATTGCTTTGTAACTGGATAAGTTCCTATCGTAGTCATCATTATCTAAAAGAAAGCTTAGAAAACGTTTATCAAAGAAAACTTTTTTATTTGGATCTTCTGGGAAAGAAAACTACAACTTCTAGTAAGAGAATCGTTTCAGAAAACGTTCCGACACCTCCGTAAGAGAAGTTCGTTTTATAAAATTTCATTTCCATTGTCACTTCAAATATCGTTTGCACATACGATAGGATCAAATTTGAACATAAGATTTTACTAGAAACTGATGCAGATTTCGGCTGTCGAGTTGAATTCCAACGCAGATCGTTCGAAAGAAAAGGAGAAACCAATATCCTGAATGATTGTTTTTTCAAATAAAATTTTATTTTTTTGTGAAGCTCTGTAAAACTTTGAGAAATGCTAATTTAAAAAAATATAGTTCACATATACAGGGTGTCTCAAAAGTTGTGAATGATTCAAAATCGCAATTTCTCTGCGTCCACTGCATGGATCGAAACGAGTTATACAGGATTGAAAGCAGAATTTTGGCGGATTTTTTTCAATATATCACTCACTGCAAACGAATCAGTATGGCAGGAGCGGTAACCATTTTTCCAAAGAACACTCATTTTGAAGGGTACTTCCATAGATACTCAACCACAAGAAATACAAAATTCGCGTATTTTGTAAAAACATATACTGTTTTGTAGAGCTCTCTATATTGATCATTTTGATAAAACAAAGTTTCCTAGTTTCGTCAAGACATGACGATGCCACTGTCAAAATACTGAAGAAACTCAAGAACGTCAAATTGCTCTGGAGCGCTCGAGCAGTCTGACACTCTCCAGTATTTGGACTATAGCACCGTTATTTGTTGGCAAAATTAGAAAACGTTTTCACCAAAAGGATCAGCGCAAAAACCTCTACAAAATGGTTAATGTTTAAAAAGCAAAATGACATATGTTTAAAAAAAATTGGGTAAATTTTGTGTTTCTTGTGGTTGAGTATCTATAGAAGTGCCCTTCAAAATGAGTGTTTTTCAGAAAAATGGTTACGAATTCTGTCATACTGATTCGTGTGCAGTGAGAGATATGTCTCCATGGTTTCCTGCTATGTTCGAAGGAAAAGATTCTAGTGGACAGTTTTGGAACGAATTTATGTTTATTACAGCTTGCTGTCTTGACAAGACTCATATCGTTCAAACTCGATTTCATCGACTATCATTGGGACAGTGAAGATGACCCAGAAGATGAAAGTGATGGCTTGATTTCTGCAGCCCTCGGTCATCCTACTCTTCAACGTTTCATTTTGAAAGCTCCGTCCGTCTCGTTTCCAGAACTAAACAATGGATTGCCGTCTTCTCTGCCCGTGTCAACATCTCTCAAGTACGTTGAAATACCCACCTTTTCTACTCAATTCTCTTTCATCGATCCACTAAAGTTGTTGCCAGTTGTTCGTCATATTCATTTTGGATCGCACGTACCTCATCGACTTTTTCATCCGCACACGTACCTTCGTAGCCTCATTCTCGATTTATACTATTGGCCTTTGATCGCTCTTAATTGCTTTCTTATTCAACTGGTCGCCTTGAAAAAGCTTACCCTATACGGCTTTGCTGGTCGGGAGAACAACAAATTATTCAACTATACTTGCCTTCTTCCTATCTTCTCGATCCTGCGACTGGTTGATGTCAACATATCAATCTGTGTACAACCAGAAGATGAAACAGTTGAGCAATTCAGACAAGAACTAGAGCAAGAACATGCTCGAAACGGCTGGAAAGAGCTCTACATTACATCAATCATTCAATCCTGTACGACACTGAAAGGTTTACTCCAAAAGAAATAGACTCGTCTATTGTTATCGTCTTTTTTGTCGAAGATTTTTGAGTGACAATAAAATGACTTCCAAAGAAAATTTGAAAAATATTTCATTCCATCGATGAATGTCTTAGTGCCCTCGTTTTTTCTATTCTAACTTACTCTTCACTGTGAAAACAGACAAGCACAGCATTGATTAAAATCTCTTTATTTCAGTTTGTAATTATAAAACGCAAAAAAGAATGCCATTTCGTACTGAAAAATACCTAAGCCGATTTCAAGAACTATCTGACACACTTAGAGAAAAGAATGTCTTCATTTGAATCCAGCTCATTCCGGTATATGAACAATAACAGATTATCAATTTTAGAAAGAGATAAGTCCGATGCTCTAATTCTTTTGAAGCGATGTTCGATACAATGTTTGAGGCGAAAAATGACTATTGTTCGTTTATCATAAGTTATTTTCAAGAAAACTTTGCCCAAATGGTAGACAACTCTCGAGAAAGACATCTCATCACCAATATAATGGGTGTTATCGAAATAAGAGCACTCGTTCGATTTCGTGAATATCTTATTCTTTTTCAAGATCCGACTTTCGGGTTGATTTGAGAAGATTCTGTATGTCAAAATTGTCTATGATCATTAAAAGGATATTTCTCTCACACTAGATCTCTCTCAATTTTGTGTGTAGCGTGAAAACATATTCTTGTCACATGGAATGTTTGCTTTATTAAAAGACTAGTTTTCCGGCTGTTGAAACAATTGTGTAATATATAGATTTGCTGCATCCATCATAAGATCGCGATGCAGTTGTGAACGATCATTAAAAAATATATCGCCCGCTTCAGTATCAAGTAACCATGAACCAAATATGACCAATACTTGCTGTTCGTTGTATACACTTACTACATATGCAATTCGTTCACCTTCTTCTTCAACATTGAGTAATTTATAAAAATAGAGTTTAGCAATGAAACCATTACGTACTGCTTTTAGTCCTAAAATCAGTATTTTAACCGATTGTCGTTCGGTTTCATTGAATAATTTTGTATACCTATTTTGTACAATTGAATGAAGAAGATCAAGTGAAAGACGAGCAGCTCCGTTGAAGTTAATTGTAAAACGTGTGGCTGTGGGTATGATGACAGGGTCAACAGCCACACCCACACCAACATTCATTTGAAATACAAAGAATAAAAAATCATCTGGAACAAGGACTAGCAGATTTAGATTTTTTTAAACAAAATAAATTCAATCAATATTTTTGATCGAAAATAAAGTTTATTTATAGGTGAATGTCAAACTGAGAATGCTTTACTTAAAACTAAATTACTTGGAGGTGAACACCAATTTTATACTCATTTTAAAGAATTTAATAATAGATAAATGCATAATAAAAAAACAATATAAACATCTATCATCACGTATTCAAGATTTTCAAGTTTTAAATCTAAATATGCGATTGGAACCAAATTTAAAAGAATACAATATGAATAAATTTGAACGAGGAATATAATAATAAAACAAACGATTGAAATGAAGATATAATGAAAATAGTTATGAAAGTGGAACCAAAATTGTCATCGATTTAGTATTTTCTTGGATATGCCTCAATTTTAGTAAACTTCTATTTCATGTTCTTTTTCATTCGAGTATTTGTTTTTGTAGGTCGATATGCGCGTTTACATATCATTGGTTAGTTACTAGTTTTCGATGAATTTGTATTACTGTTATTAATTTAAAATCATTTGAGGGTTTTGAATAATTATAGTTGATTAACAAGATAATCGTATTTATGAAATAAAATAGCAAAAAAGAAAAATCACATCGGTTATTAGCGCATCGATCAAGCTTTTAGTTGGTTTTTTTAGAAATTTATGGTAATTGAATGTACTGAGAGTGTCGCTGTAAATTGGACCCATACTTTATGTGTATCACGAGATTATAAGTTTTTCTAGAACTAACTTTTATACGTTGTGTGTATGTTAAGTCAATCTAGATGTTTTGAAAAGTCAGCACTGTGGACCTTTGTCCAGAGGAATTTCCAGTAAAAACAAACGGTAGTGACGGGGTATTGAAGAGGACGTCGACTTTCACATTATGCATCTTAGTTTTAAAAAATTTCCAATGGATGCATCATTTTAGAAAACTCTCGAGGCTAAAGAATATCTATACCAAGATTTAAAAAAAACACGATTTTCTTTTCCTTATCGATATGATCGAGTATGAAAAAAATAAGCGAAAAAGTGCTCTGTTAATTGAATGAAAAGTTCGGAGACGATTCTAAATTATAGAAATCCTTGCTCAGAGTGTCCACATGATGATAAGAGAAAAATCATTGTTTCAGCATTTAATGGGGTCTCTAGAAAAACGATTTTTTTTCTTATATGATTAGAGAGATATTCGCTAATTATGTTTTAATTAATATTCATGTGAAAAGGAGAAGATCTTTATATAGATCTATGCTAAAAGAATATATTGAGAAAAATAACCTTCGTAGAGAATCATAGTCAAATAAAAGAAGATATGACCCATATATTCACTATAACATGAAAATAATCTCATACTCATAATAACCTAATATTACTAGATCTACTGATCTTCAAATAATGATAAAGAATCATATAAAAATAAATTAACTAACAATCAAAATAAATCTTTTACTGATTCAAAATTGCAAGATTGTAAGATGTCGATTAGAATTTACTAAGTGCATAGGGGCAACTTTTCGTACCCGTTCCTGTGATCGCAATTTAGAATAGAATTCATCAACTAAGAATATCATTATTTTTGTGAATTTTGTATTAAAAAACGAAGAAATTGGCAGTTCGGATGATGAAACGGATAATAAAAATTGATTTTTTTCAAATTCAATAATTAAAAGCGACATATGTATTAATGAATTTGAAATGTATCGATTTCGTTCCTGCTTCATTATTTTAATGCCAATCTTTTGGATTTTTTAAACTATGTGGGAGATTCAATACTTTATTTAACTTGATTAAATAAATATAAAAGAAGATTTTTTAAAATTCGTATAACACACTAGAGCAGTACACGAATAGTCAACCTGCGGATTGTAGTTCTCTAATGTTCTCTTCTCCTCACATCGTAATATTATGGTGGTTGAACTCATAAAACGAAGAATAAAATGATAATGATCTCTTTCTATGACACGTATTAAAATATGTTTTAATCATTAGAAGGAAAATATTTTTCAACATAAACACATGAAATGAATCTAATAAATTGTTAAAATAGTAATTTAAAATGGAAAAATTTTGGAAATAATAAAATTTCAGAATGGATTAATCAACAATAAAAATTCTTATAGTTTTGATTTATTCATTTATTTGACACTATTTTTAAAATAAATTATTTTAACATCTCTGACAATATCTTATAAATTTTTAACAATCAAAGTTTTTGAGTTTTACAGTTTCGTCCTTTATAAAGTCACACTAACAAATATTCTAATAGCAATTCGAACAGTCTACAATCGTTTTAGAACACAAAGATTGTGGTAAATCACTTTAAAAGGAAAACATCTGAAACAGTATTTTATAAGTGAAGATTCGAATGACAAATTCAAAATTTCTTTCACATTTATTAATATTTCAAAAGAAGCATTGGAACAAATGCGTGGAAATTCTCCGTCGTATAACAGAGTAAACTTAGAATCATAGATCATTTTTCGGTAAGAATATTTTCAAAAGAAAAACTTTTGCAATATCCGGAAGAAGTTTTCTAAACAGTTCTTTACATCCAGCTAATATTGAGAGAATAGAAACAAAAACACTTTCACCATATTTGAATTCTATTAAAATCAAAGATAATATCAATAAGAGTTAAAAAATAAAATTAATGGTTTCTACCGCTGCACCATTTTCAAAGTCAACTGATGGAAGTGGGGTAACAAGAAAAAAAAATGCAATTAAATATTTTAATTTTAAATCCGATCAAATTAATTTATCATTTGTAATTAAACTTATTAAAACGATAATTTTCTTTTTTCCTGAAAATTAAACTAAACATAGGATAAGATATTTTCTTCACTAAAACAATTTCTTTTAGAATCCATTAAACATTTGTTTTTCTAATTTTTATTGTCTATATGCCTGAACATCTCCAATATATTTAAACAACGTCATGGTATTATTGGATCGTTTCGCTTATTTACAATTTGTAGATAAAAGGTCTTGTTAATACTTAAAAAAAATTTATTTTTCGCTCTTAAAACATTACTGAGATCAACAATCTATTATTGATTTTTAGTTTCATTTCATGCACAACTGTCATTAACTTTGCATCAAATTGAGTAGAAAATATTCGAAACAACTATGCGATAATTAGAATGATGTTTCATCTTAAATAAAGTTTCACTTTTTTTTTTCGAGGTAATAAAATCATTTCACTTTTCCGAAAACAATAAGACGACCTCTATGATGGGTTCGACTTTACTCGAATGATTTCTAAAAATCTATTTGATTACATAAAAATATAAAAAATTTCCTTTAGATTTGCACCAAACAGAACACAACCGACTCTTTTCAAAACTTACGAAGATTTTATAGAGAATAAATAGTGCACGCCACTATATAGATATAAATTACTTTCATCGGTAGTATCATACGACCATCGTTGCTAGATTAGAATTTTCTCTTCTGAAATGTGAACATAAGAAAGATCTATTTAACTAAGATCATCGAATAACTCCTTTCATATACTTGATGAGCTATGTTGCTCTGGCACACTAATGTTGTCATTGGTCCGCATATTTTCGTCATCGCAACTTGTTTTCTTTTAATCATTTACCTCTTGGTAAGTTGTAATAATCAAATTTAATTGATACTGTGTGAGACGCAATTCCGTTTTTGTCCCGACACATATCGTTTTGGTGAATGTGAAACAGAAAAGAAGAAAGTGTCAGAGCGAGTCAGATTCCGTTATTTACACCAGTTATTAACAAACAGTATATTGCATTTCATTAAAAAGTAAATGATCAAAAACCAGTTGTGATGATGAATATGAGTGGACCAGTGGCAACGTTAGTTTACCAGAGCAACTATTCTTAAAAAGAACATCAATGTAAAGACTACAATGATGTCAAAATCCTGTAAATTCTTCAACATAATGTTGTTGAGCAATAATCGTAGTCTGACATTTATCAGTTGAAATAAATCTTTCTATTATTTATGTATAGAAAAAGCAAACTTTTAATTTTTTTCATAGGCAGAGAACGCTGTCGATACGTTCATTATAGTATTTTTATCCTCTAATTTACATTATTTCATCATTGCAACCTGTTTTTTTTTGATCATTTACCTCTAGGTAAATTTCAGTATGTGATGACAATGGACAATGTGTGAAACAATTTCTTATTTGTTTTTACACATGTCATGTTGATGAATATGAAACAGAAAAGAGAAAAGTGTACGAGCGAGTCAGATGGCGTGATGTGCATAGTCTCGCGATAAATTGTTTTCTACTTTAGTCTAAGAGGTAAATGATTAAAACCATGTTGCAATGACGAAAACATGCAAACAAGTGATAATACTTGTCAGGCAGAGCAACACTTTTGATGATGAATAATTGAAAGAACCACAATAGATCTACTTTGACTCATACATGACTATAGCTTACTAAAACTAACATGGATACATTTTCAGCATCTATATTATGAATTGCAATAAGTTTTATCATTCAGGTTTTTTTTCTGTTCATTCATGCTTAATTTAATAGAGAATGAATACTTTTTTTCTTTCATTCGTATCAAATCTTTCTTGACTAATATAATATTAAATAAAGGCTATCAGTCACTATTCATTTCGAGGGTGGTTGTGGGTGTGGGTGTGATTAAACAGAATGAAGACATCCACGCGCACATCCTTTTCAGAAGTAGAAGAGAGACATTCGTGCCAAGTTCGGCGAGACATTATAAAAGAACAGATTTTATTGAGAATGTACCAATCGGACATGCATGCAGACTTATAAAATTATATGAGCATAAAAAGTCCATCAATTTATACAAATTATTGAATATTAGTAAAAATCTGTTGTAACATAGCACTTTTTTTGTTCTTTAACTATTTTTTTCTTATTAAATATACTTTGCCACTGACAAAATCATTAATTAATTTTCATAAATTAATTACCGAGCTCATTTCTCTCATTTTAAA